TATCGAAGTACAAAGCGAGATCATCCACCGGATTGCTCTAGAATCCAAATCTAATGGAGAACACCAGAGAACTCGTGGTGGCTGCTCCTTATGATAAATCTACTCTAATATTTTCGGCACACTCCTAATAAGAGGCTAAAAACAAGTATATATAGGCTTAGGGTCTTCTAGGGTTCAATTTAGGACAAAACAGTCTTTTACGTCAAAACTGCACCAAATATTGGTCACGAGTGTCGGCCAAAAGTCGTGACCGGTACTGGGAGTTAAATGACCTCTCTTGTGTGCTGACATCGGCTGGAATATCGGTCCACGGTGCAGGCCGGTATTTGGTCCTCCGTTTACTGCTAAACTTCTGGCGTATATGTTCTGTCCAATTTGGTAGAATGTTGTTTCTTGTGAATTTATGGTTCTTGATGGTGTCTTTGGCTTGTGAAAGTTGCTGTAGTTGGTTTACACTTATTTTGGCTCTTTTTGATCATTTTTGCTTGATTTCCCTGTTAAGACTCTAAAACTACAAATACGAAAAAACTACCTCTAAATGCGTAATACCGTAGATAAACGCATAGAAAACATAGTAAAATAGATAATAAAATGGGTAAAATATGGAACATATCAACTGGAATCCGCGGCAAGAGACGGTGAAGCAAGAGTATGGAGCGTTGACGATGCAGTGAGGCCTCATGAGTGACAACGAGGAGAGACAAGAGGCCAGCGAGAAGACATAAAAGACACCATCGAGAGACGAAAAGCAGTGACGAATGATAACGAAGACTACGGATTTGGAGGAGCTTTTCTCACGACCTGAGGCCGAAGAAAAGCTCGACACAACACCAGGCGAGAGGCGGTCCTTGGAGGAGGAAAATGGAGAGATTACGTCGAACGGAGGCGAAGTGAACTGAGAAAAACTCTGTGTGACAGCGGTGCCTTGGAAAGCGTGTCTAGAAGAATATTAGGGCTTGCCTTGACTTGTAATCCAAAATTTAGAGAAGTTAACTAAGTAATTATCAAAGAACTGCACAGTAGTACCAAGTTATCAAATCACTTACCTTTTTTCACGAATGTGATCATAGTCGGGGGCAAAGGCAAGTGGATTAAGTAGGGGACAGTTGTTCCCAATAACATTTGATTATTCGATATAATTTTCTAAAGAATTTATTTATTGCATCCATAAGAAAAGATATTTTTGCCTCCGTGGCATCATTTTGCATTTTAATTTGTTTTTTTTTCAAATTGTACTATATAAATTTGAACGAGTTTATTTGCATTCCTCGGTCCATTTGTATTCATTACTA